AAAAGGGAGCCAATAAAGAGAAACTAAAAGTGGAGTAATGCGATTTCTCCTTCTGGTTCTTGTCAGTTAGAATTTTAGATGAGCTGGCAGCTTTTCAGAGATTTCAGAGGCATCATATGTCTCTGATATTCATTTCACTTCACTGTTCACTGAAACTTTAATGGGATTTTTTTTAAAACAAGAAAAAACAAGAGGGGAAATATTTGAAAAAGTTCCGACCAAAATATTACCCCTTGAAACGATGTTGATCATATAAGAAACAGGCTTCTACATTTCTAACAGTTCAATTTCGGGAAAAAACTTAACAATTTCATCTGAAGCCATAAACTTATTTATGTTGAACATCTTCTCTTCGGTTGACTAAAATGTATTTTAAGTAGTTCTTCTCTTCTTAATACATCAGCCAGGATTAAATAGAAATGTTTGAAGTTATTTGTAGCAAAAGAAGTAACTTTGCAGGGTTTTTTTTGTCTCCAATGGGCTGCAAACTACCCACTATCTACATCAGATCTTAAATTCAAGCGCTCTTAAGCAGGCGCTTGGTTTCAACACTAATGATTCAAATCAGTGCAACATTCGCGTTTGTGTGCTTAAACTTTGAATGGGTCCATTTAATCTTGATCTGAAACCCACAGAACAGCAGCCCTTGAGAACTCAAGTTTCAGACCCCAGAATAACAATTATGGTAATGAAAATGTATGAATTAAAATGTTCAGCAACTTAAGTCTTTGAAAAAAAAAACATATGCCGAGACATGATTTTTAGTTTCACATTGTATCATAATTTAAACATTAACATGAATTTAGTTGGAACCTGAATGTGATTTTATGTCAATTGGACTAGAGTGACTGATATCCAAAATTCAGATTTTATTCTCATATAATTTTTATCAAGACGGCAAGTGCTTACTTTTTACATTTAATGTTAAGAGAAACAGAGTAAAAGGGAACAAACACTAAAGAAGTTAGGAGATAAAGCAGCCTCAGGACAAGAGATGTCCGACTTTGGAGATGTAAAAGTCTTAAAACTTATTTGGCAGTCTATACTCCATTTTATACAACTTCTTGTTCATTTGCTGTTGCTTAGTGTGACAAAAGACAGGAGATTTCTAATGGGATAAATGGCATTGCTTTACTATCACGTTTTCATAACAGATTAAAGTTGAATTCTAACACAGCTATTGGACAATCACTGGACACGATACATGAGGCTTCCCTTAAGCTAGTGGATACTCCATACACACAATTCATCGACACACACTCACAAAGTTATTCTGTTTTCCACCACAAAAACACGGCATCCCGATTACTGTGCAGATGTCGACTAGAAATGGAACAACGTACTTGAAATGTCATGGCTTTTTCTTTTCCGTCTCCTCACCTGTCCACTGCCATTTGCAGTCCCCTGTCATTTTAAAGGATAGCTGGGCATCTCAATTTTTTGTCCTCCCACAACATCAGAGCCTAAGGAACGGACTAGTGACTTCTGGAACATGTGTGTTAAAAAACAAAACAAAAAAATATATATATATACATATATTTATATATATATTGTAACTGAAAAGAAATGTGAACTAGTGGCATAAATCTACTTTACATTTGAGAAAGAAACAGGGAATACTCTCTTTATTCTAACCCATATAACAGCAATGAGTTTGAAAATAAACACAAATGTATCAACCTAAATCATCTAATCACTATAACCAAGAATAAGATTCCTGTTCAGGTCTCATTTGCAAGCCTGTGTGCTGCCAACTAAGTTGAATCGTCTCTAAATATTCACTTGCCAACTAACCGGTTAGTTTTCTCTTGCTGTGGTAGATAATGCCTTTCGCAGTTTAAATAGGATACAAAGTAAAGTATACAAGGAAAATGTTCCTACTTCTGATGAAATTTGCTAACCATTTTTGTTTTTTTATTTGGATTTTATAATGCCATGTAGCCAGCATCATTAAAGTAGTTTGTAGGGCTGACTCAAACCAAAAGGAGCTTCTTTTAAGGCCCTTTTCCTTTCCTCTTCATCTATATAGTGTCCATTCTGAGCCATTCCTCCACTTGACTAGCATGGTACTCGCTAGTACTCGAAATGAGCATGGTGGGAATGTCTGAAAACAAAGAGATTCACTGGCACATATGTACATAAAAAGCAAAGTCAAAAATGCAAAAGATCACGAAGAGGGATTCATGACAGGAATAAGGACCGCTCATTTAAAAAAAAAAAAAAAAAAAAGCTCAAGCCGCGGGGCCTCAAAGAGGATTTTGACACAAAGTGCATCGGAATGCTTTTACAAACACTCAGGTCTCATTCAATAAGTGGGACCCATCGAAGGGGAATACTGGAAGCCTTTTATTTATGTATAGGTGGGATCGGGGTAGTGTGTGTGCAGTTTACTGCTTCTCCCATTTGACTTCAAGGAATGTTCAACTAATTCAATCTCTCATACACTTCAACACGCGCACACACAGAAATATCGAGCAAACAATTCTATGATCTGGATGGAAAAACAAGACTCCAGAACAAGCATGAAAGAAATGCACTCACACTCCTGGCAATACACACGACAGCTACACGGAGAAACAAACAAAAACAAGAGTGCCTGTTAATAAAAGAAAAGATTAACTAGAATCTGACTCGGGGGCATGATTAATACCCGCAGCAGCTGCTTTTTTTTTCCCTTATATAGATTAAACTTCTTTTTTTTTCTTCTTTTTATTGATTTCAAACTCAAAAAACTCTGGGGAGAGGATGAAAGGTGTGACAAGATGGCTGGACAGGAGGTCGCTGGTGGGATGGTGGGAGCACTGGTCACAGTCTTAAGCGGGCACTCTTAAAACTGCAGGGCCAGCAACTCGCAAAGACGCCTGGACACGGAGTCTTTGCTGCAGCGCAGAGTCAGGCGGTACATCTGCAAATGAAAGAAAGAAAGATTTAATCGTTTTTTTTAAAAAGTAACGTGGCGGGTATCGGTTTCAGATCAGAGAGAATGCCATCAGGAAAAAAGCCCTGAGAGGTACTGTAATAAAGACAGTA